TTGTGATATCACAAGTACTTAATGAATTGCCGGTATAAAATTAATATATGTATTTTTCAAATAAATGAATGATAGACTTTCGTGTAATTTCAAAAATTTTCTACATGCAATATATTTGTCTTGGATTCTGTTTTGATAATGAAGTACTTGCACACTTTACATGGAAGCGATCTACTTGTAATCAAATAAATCTTTCACGGCAATGCCGTTGCCATAGCGATGCAAATAGAGTTGCTCTATAATTTCGCATGTGAACCGGTCGGCCTCTATTCTTTCTTTCTTTTGCCATTGCTAACCATAATAATTTAAAAGTTCGCAGGAATCGGGTTCACTGCTGAATTTCGTTATAGCTCGCGTTTTATATTCTTTAGAACGAACTACGTACACGAATGCACAACTTACAATATTTTAAATATTATTTTAAGCGTTTATTGATATATAAATCTTGTGTATACCCAGAATTAAGAAAGCTTTAACTAACCGCGAATGCTAACTGCTATCTATCTATCTATCTATCTATATATCTATCTATCTAGCTATCTATCTATCTATCTATCTGTATATCTATCAATCTACTTACTACCTATCAATCTACTTATTACCTATCAATCAATCTATCTATCAATCCATGCAACCATCCATCCATTCATGTTTCCATGTGTGTATGTTAGTGTGTGTGTCTGTGTGTGTGCGTGCGTGCGTGCGTGCGTGCGTGCGTATCTGTCACGTGTGTGTGTGTGTGTGTGTGTGCGCGCGTGAGTGCGTGCGTGTGTGTTTGCGTGCCTGGGGCAGCGTAAAGCCACGTGCCAAAATGTGTTTTGGGAAGGTGGCTGCCAATAATCATGTCATGTATTCACATTTCTCGTGGGGTGCGTGGAAACTGCCCCCTTCCTCCTCCTCCTCTCTCTCCTCCTCAGCAGTTGGGGCTACGTGACCGAGCCGGGTCACGGGATGGCAGGTAGACATGAGTTTATCGGGTGAGTCAACGTGAAATGACAGGTGCGATAATGCGATTGTAGACGCGTTATGCGCACTACGAAAGTAGAGGTTCTGCAAGAGACTATAAAGAGAAGACAAGACAATAATGAACGTGAACCAGCGTTTTACTCAACCTCTAATACGATATATAAATTCTCTCAGTGCACTACTGAACAAAAGAGAGCGTTTACTACAACAGTAACCGTATCACGCACTTACACCTTTCTCAGCGGGTGTCACTTTTACAAAGGCTCCTGAGTCGTCCCCCGCTATTTATACGTCGTGGCTCGGACCAACTACCGCGCTCCTTCCTTCACATCACCGGTCTCGTTTTAGCTCCCACTTGGTCAATCGGCCTTACCGAATAAGGTGGGTGTAACGAGGTAAGTGACGTTACCCGTTTCAAAGTAGATTTGTTGTAGCGATGAAGAAGGAAACCCCCAAAGTCCAGTTGGGTTTTGCAAATAGTATTTTTGTTTCTCAACCCACATGCGTGCGCACAGAAGGACGCATCCGCGTGCATCCACACTCTCGTCTTTTTCCTCTTGTTAAACCAATAACCTTCCATTTATACGTTTCTAGCTAACAATGAAATCAATCGCGCGCGCGCGGACACCCACACCTGCTGCACACATGCACAACAACCGACTCACAACCGTTTCTCGTCTACATCATCCATACTACATCAAACGCGCTGCCGCCGACTGACCCATTATGCAACCACCGTCGCGACATTTCCAATCACCCAACTACCATTTGTAACATCTGCAAATCACACTTTACAACGGGATCCGATAGCAGCAGGCTGTCATTATTTACAACTTATATAATATTTCAATAAATATTACGTACGCACACACACACACACGCACGCACGCGCGCGCGCGCACGCACGCACACACACACACGATAGACTGTCACATCAGGTGTATTGTTTTCTCAGGTGTCAGGACAGTGATCAGCATCGCCAGGGGTCGCCAGCTACCGCTACACGTGTCTGAAATACGATAGAGAAACAGTAAGTTTGCTCTTATTAAATCATGTCCGCTTTGCAATCGTTCTGACGGCATCTTTGATTTTCCATTAAAAAAATGTTACAAGCATATTTTTCCCACATTAAATACTCACATCTATTAAATCTTCGTATCTATGACATTAAACCCTTTTATAAATACACGGATAATTATCATCGTTTTAGTGCAGATTTGTCAGGTGTATGTCATGACTAGGTGTTAATGTTTTCACACGTACATTCCGTAATCAAACGCAGCCGCATGCTGGCGTACAGTGTGAGAAAGAAACAAATTTGAAACTTCTTCTAATTACGAGAGATGAAATGTTTTTTATCCAGATCTCAAGTATCGAAAAGCGGAATATATTCCTATCAATATGGGCAACCATCAATCCACTGCAATTAGGAAGACGACCGAGAGACCACCGACGAGAATACGCAGATTACTAGCGTCCCTCACAGGTTACATCTTACTAGGGGCAGCTCGACAGACCGCAACAATCTGGGCAGCTGCTAACGGTTACACGGATACGGTTACATCGTTATTAGGTACGGACGCTAACATCGATCACGCGGACGTGAATGGCAGAACCGCAGTAATAGCAGCAGCTGCTAACGGTCATACGGATACGGTCACAGCGTTATTAAGTGTGGGCGCTAACATAGATCACGCGGACATGAATGGCAACACCGCAGTAATAGCAGCAGCTATTAACGGTCATACGGATACGGTCACAGCGTTATTAGGTGCGGGCGCTAACATAGATCATGCGGACATGTATGGCATGACCGCAGTAAGAGCAGCAGCTCGTAACGGTCATACGGATACGGTTACAGCGTTATTAGGTGCGGACGCTAACATAGATCACGCGAACGTGGTTGGCCACACCGCAGTAATAGCAGCATCTGCTAACGGTCATACGGATACGGTCACAGCGTTATTAGGTGCGGGCGCTAACATAGAACACACGGACGATAATGGCTACACTGCAGTAATAGCAGCAGCTGCTAACGGTCATACGGATACGGTCACAGCGTTATTAGGTGC